GCTGAGAAGCAGAACCCAGCTTCTGTTGGCCCAGCCTGGCTCCTGGTAGGCCCCCAAGCCAGGGCTGCTGAGGGAAAGCTCCAGATTCTGTGGCTTCACCCCAACCTCTGAACATCTTCAGAGCAGCATGGATCATAGCTGACACATGAGAGTATAAGCAGAGAGAAAACTCCTGGTAAGGCTGGGTCATTGTACCGCATTCACTGACAACTTATTATAGTTGGTGGTATTGGGTAAATCACAGCCTCGGCTTTTCCCTATGTAAAGTGAGTATGTTATCTTCAACCACATCTTCCTACTACTTATTATGCCATTATTCAATGTATAAAACACGTACATAGCAGAATTTCCCTGATTAATGAAGAAGACACCTGGAGACCCTCCCATTCAGCATTCCCCTCAGCCTTCTGACCCCTCCTGGTGTGGTCCAGGGAAGCATGGTTTGGAAACCTTGGAAATGAATAAATAATGAAACTTTGAAATGAATAAATTCTAAGATTACTTTCATCTCCAACAATTTGGGATTTTACAAGTGTCATTCTGTTCCTCCCTTTTAGAATTTAAATTCTAAAAGGAAATATTATACTTAATTGTGGCACAGGGAGATTAAGCTGTGCTAGGCAGTAGCTTACAAAAGGTGCCTTTAGATTTATAGAGGGTGGGATGAATACGACATTCTGTGGGTAAGGATTGGAGTAGCTGGGGGAATTTCACCAAGAGAAGAGGCCTGAGGGTATAGTCACTGTTTTGAAACACCAGAATGGCTGGCTGTGCTTACTGGGTCTTCAATGCCTGGGTTACCTCCTGGCAGTCAGTGAAAGTTTGTTGAGTGAATTTTAAGTCAGTCAGTCATTTATGGATTGACTAATCCATAAAAGAAAAGCATAACTAACATCACTAGCAAAGAGTGAGGTCACCTAACAGTACTGCTAGGCTTAGTAGCATCCTTGATTGAATCCTCTTGAATTTCAATCCAGGATATATAAACATATCCAACAGTGATTACAAAGGGTCAAAGAGTACAATTTAGGAGACAGTGGACTTCCTTTACTGGCAGTATTTCAGCTAAATAACCTGGCCTCTGTGTTCCTGATGGGTTCATCCTTTGGTAAATAGAATGAAAAAGAAAGCCCCTGTTCTATTTAAGGCCTGAGATTCTTTTTATTATTCCTAGACTCCAAATGCAAAGGGTTGAATTAAGTACATGTCCCAGGCGATGGCATATTGCCAACACTGGGCCACTTTTTCTTTAATTTGTTTGCTTCCTCACTTACTCATCAACTTGTACTCACTCCCCACTCCTGTTACTCTCCCCCATTCTAATATGTTTAATGTTTAACTTTGTATCTGAATACACTTGTTCTGTTGCATTTTTTCTTTTATTTCCTTTTTTTTTTTACTTCAGGGGGTACAAACATTTTGGTTACATGAAATATATTTGCCTCGCTCAAGCTAGGGCAATAAGCATGTCCTTTGCCCATACAGTGTGCCCCATTTCCATTAGCTGTGGGTTTACACCCCCACCCTCTCTACCTTCCACCCCCCCACCCCACCTACCTGACCGGCACCCAGTGAGTATTACTACCATGGGAGCACCTTAGTGTTGATCAATTAGTACCAATTTGATGGCGAGTACATGTGGTGCATGTTTTTCCATCCTTGTGATATCTCACTTCAAAGGATGGGCTCAATCTCTATCCAGGATAATATAAGAGGTGCTAGTTCACCATTGTTTTTTGTAGTTGAGTAGTATTCCATGGTATACATATACCACATTGTATTAATCCACTCATGTATTTTTTTTTATTTCAGGGTATTATGAGGATACGAACATTTTGGTTACATTTTATGTCTTTGCCTCACCATAGTGAGGGTTAGAGGCACACCCTTCCCCTCTACAATGCTTGATGGGCACTTGGGTTTCCCATCAATTTCACATCCTTGCAATTGTGAATTGTGCTGCTATGACTTTTACGTCCCTCTGAGCACTTGTATGCACATCAGTTAGTTCCAAATGCCCATCAATTCATCAGCAGATTAGCAAAATGTGGTATATGTATACTGTGGGGTACCTTTAGAGGTGCATATTTCCTTGCTCCTTCATGTTTGTTGTGTTCCTACATTGAATCTCTGCATGTAATGGAACAGTCACTTTGTCCAATTGTACAAAGTAGCTTTGGAAGAGATCCTAGGTATTGGTTGATTAAGGTGCATTCACTTTGGTTTTGGGTTGACACAGCAGTTTAGTCTTCATACAATTTTATCAGTTATGATCCATGTTAGCAATGTCTGTGAGTGCATCGGTGGCCTAATTTATAGTTTTTGTCAGTGGTGGGGCTTTGCTGAGGGTGGGCTCGCCAGACTGGTTCTCAGTCTGAGGGCACATGCATGCACATAATAGTTCAACTAGCTTGCCAAGGGTGGGGCCGCTGAGCTGCTTCTCTGGCTGGGGGCATGAGCATGCAGTGGTTTAGCTGTTTCAGGGATAGGTCCACTGGGGAAGGGTCCACTAGGCTGTTTCTCCAGCCGAGGACACAGTTGTTCAGCAGCCCAGGTGCGGGACCAGAGTCACAGCCATGCCTGGGCCCAGATTCAGGTAGCCAAGGCTGTGGCCTTGTAGCCACGCACATGAGGGTAGTGGAAATACCATGGAGCCCCAAGGCTGGAGAGACACAGTGGCTATGCACCTTGAGCAGGATGCACTTCGGCAGTGCCTCTGGTTTCAAGATGGTGCTGTGATCCAGCAGCTTGCATCATGGGTTCCAGGGGTAGTGCACAACATGTGTTCCTACTCGGAAGTAATGCAGGAGTGTGAATTCCATGCAGTTCCTCAAACTGGGCTCATGGCTTATTAGGACTGTGAGACTCTTCCTTCTGCTATTTAAGGCAACCACTGTGGTCAGGAGGCCCCTGCAGACATTTAGAGAGAAGCATACCTGGGTTGTAATGCATCAGACCTAGGGGTGGAAGAAGTGGAAGAATCTTCACCCCAACAGTGCTTCTGAGCCGCATGACCATTATTCTATAATACGAGCACGGTTAATCTAGGCTGTTGCTGCCAACTTCTATAGTGAGGAATCAGCAGTGATTGTCCTAAGGTGATGATGTGAGAGGAAACGGCAGAACTTTTCTCTAATACATCCTCTTACAGCTGCTGCTCCTGACTACCCTTAATCCCAGTTCAGACTCCTACACATAAAGACCCCCACATAGAGACTCATACAAGTTAGACAGATTTCAGTTCTCTGGGGGATTCTCATATCTTTTCTGTTTTCCCTCAAATCTGTACTTTCCATATCTATAGTTTATCCAGGGTTACTACAACCCTACCGGTTTGACATTTTCACAGGAAAACTTCAAGCATAATTACATATCTTCATTAAAATTATTCAACATTTACAATAGGCACCTTCTTATATATACAAATCCATAAACCAGTTTTGTTATATAAAATATAATAATAGCTAACAGTTATTAAAGGCCATGCATGGCCTTTATAGCCACTATACCAAGGGATAGTGCATTGGAAATTTTAAACTGCATAACTGTCCTATGAAGCAGGTAAAATTATCATTTCTGATTTACAAATGAGGAAACTAAAGCTTAAAGTTTAAATAATTTTCCCAAAACTACACTGATAGTGTGAATCAGGGCAGTGAGTTTAAATCAACATCACTGAGCATTAGAAACATACCATTGTTACTTATGGTTGCTTTTGACTCATCATAAAAAGTGCCAGGAAGATTATGAGCACACAGTTCAGAATATGGACTTTCTCTAAGTCAAAACCCATATCCCCAACTCCACCCTCATTTATCTGGGGTTACTTGACCACCATCCATAGGCTCTTTTTTCTCCAAAGCCAACCTTGTGTCCAGGTAAGAAAGACATGAAGAATACATGTTTTGTTACTCATTGGTCTCATTTTCAACCCAGTTGGTTGCTGGCTTGTTCTGACATTACGCCCTTGTGGTTTTCTGGTCTTGCTCCATTTCAGTTGAGTCCCTACCTTGGTAGATAAATGATTAGGGCCTCAATTCCTGCCAGACTGGAGCCTTGGATTATTCTCCCTGGCTCTAGCCTTTTTGAGGGGGGGAAACCAACAAGTCCTGAAACCCAAGTCCCTTCCAATCAAAACCCCTAAGGGGGTTTTTTTTTGCCATAATGCTATATCTTCTCACATTTCCATTTCCCACTGTACTCCTTTGACTCTTCTTGCCTGTAAGGGCACCCACCTCTTAGTTCCTCCTGTCAAGATAAGTTCCTCTTATCTTCCTTGATGCCACCCACCTGCCTGAAACATCAAGCCCAATGTTGGGTGAATAGGCTGCCTGAGATAGTTCTTCAACCTCCCTCCCACCCACTCAAGAAAGTTCCACACCATGATGGACATGCCAAATTTTCCTAGAACTTTCTTCACATAATTAAACTCCCAAATGCATTATAAAAGTATGTTTTTTTCAAGAGGGGTTTGACTCAGGAATACAGAATCTACAATGTTTATGTGATTTCTATAGGGAAAACAGATGCCCCCATTTTTTCTTTCACAGGGGAAGAATAAAGAAAGAAATTATAGGTGGAGGCTGATACTACACAGTGGAAGAGCAGCTGAGGCCAGACAGAGCAAAAAGATGTATCATATTTACACTACCTTTGGAAATTGAGAAAAATCGTGACTTTCTGAATACCTTTTCTATAATCTTTACCATTTATCCTAAGAATATCGGTATTATAAGTTTTGTCTCTTGGGAAAAAAAAAAAGAGATGAAGTGCCTTGTTCAACTTCACAAAATTAATCAATTTCAAAGTGAAAATTGAAACCAAGGTGTGTCAACAACAAACTTATGAAGTTATATACTCTATGCAGTCTACATGCATGGCGACCCTTATGCAGTGCAAGAGCTGAAATACTTCATGAGGGATCTCCTCTACCAGACTGCAGACTCCAAGCCAGGGTACACACCAAACATTCCTTCATATTTTTTACTTGCAGGACAGCAATGTCAAGGAGGAACCAGAGCCACGTGACTGAATTCCTTCTTCTGGGACTGACCACTGACCCCAAACAGCAGGCGTGGCTCTTTGCCAGCTTCCTGGCCATGTACCTGGTCAATGTGGTGGGCAACTCAGTCATCATTGCAGCCATCTGGGGGGATGCCCACCTCCACACCCCCATGTACTTCTTCCTCTCCAACCTGTCCCTGGTGGACATCTGCTTTACTACTGTCATCGTGCCACGAATGTTAGTGAACATGCTGACTCAGAGAAAGACCATTCTCTTTGCTCAGTGCCTCACCCAGATGTATTTCTTTGTGGCCTTTGGGATCACGGACAGCTTCCTCCTGGCTGCCATGGCCATCGACCGCTATGTGGCCATCTGTAACCCACTGCATTACACCACGACCATGAGCCCCAGGCGGTGTCTCCTGCTGGTGATGGCCTCCTGGGCAGTGTCCCACCTGCACTCGCTCACCCACACCATTCTCATGGCCCGCCTCTCCTTCTGTGGGCCCAATGTCATCCACCACTTCTTTTGTGATGTCCAGCCACTGCTAACACTCTCCTGCTCTGACACCTCCGTCAATGAGCTTCTGGCCTTCACAGAGGGCTCCTTGGTCATCATGAGTCCCTTTATCCTCATTATTGTCTCCTATGTCTACATCACCCGTGCTGTCCTGAGGCTCCCCTCAGGGGGAGGCAGGTACAAAGTCTTCTCCACCTGCGGATCCCACCTCATGGTTGTGGCACTCTTCTATGGGACCATAATATCCGTGTACATTCGCCCCTCATCCACCTACTCAGTGACAAAAGATCGTGTAGTCACTGTCATCTATACAGTAGTCACCCCAATGCTCAACCCTTTCATCTATAGCCTTAGGAATAAGGACATGAAACAGGCCTTGAGAAAGCTAGTTAAAAGAACAGAATAGAACATATATATTTTACTACCTCCAGGAGTTTATGCATCAACTCAACAATCATGTGTTAAGCACATAGTATCTGCAGGCAGTATGCTTAACCCTGTGAGGAAAGCAAAAAAATCATAGCTTCTGTCCTCAAAAGTACTTATATTCTAAGTAGCAGAAAGGAGATTGTCAACAGCTTGCTATAATAAGAATGTCATACTTTCTCATAAAAATTAGATGAGTCATGGTTATAAATATCTTAAATTATAAAGTAAAAATTCCCAACTTCTTCCTTCTTCCTCAGTATCTTTATCCCTTCTCTTTTGAAATATCTAGTTCATATATCTCATGTTGATTACCAATGTAGAGCAATATTTCACCACAAAAAAATTTTAAAAGCTTCCACACCTAGCATTTAGTGACTTTAGGTAATCTACTTAAACTCTCTTAGTTTTAAATCCCTACTCCTGTAGTATAATGCTTGGGCTTGAAGCCCAGATCCAATAATTACCAACCCCATAATCTTACATTAGTCTTTCTGTACCCTGGCTTTTTACATGTCAAGAGGACTGTTGTTAGGATGAAATGATATAAGTGTCCTAAGACATATATGAATTATGTATTAAGTGCTTACAACAGTGTCTCTCAGATAGCAAGCTCATAATAAATGTCAATCATTATGATAATATATGCAAATGTCTCTGTGGTCCCTTTCCAACTAAGATCCCATGTTTTAGAGTGGGGTGGGAAATAGTTATACTTTCATACATCCTCCCACTCCATTCAACCTAAGTGTTTCTGGAAATTCAGTATAATTATTCTATCTTTAGGACCTTATCACTGTGTTGTCAATTTTCTTAGGGTTTCCAGTGAGTATGGAGAAGGCCTCCCCCAATCATTATGACATGATGTCCATTGATCCTCCTTTCCCCAGCCCCACTCCTCCATCTCACCCTCATTGTCTTCCAAATAATTTCACCACCAAAGCCTAAATAGGGAGGGAGCACTGTCCAGCACTTCAAACATCTGAAAGACAAACTATGGCTAAATCACATGAAGCAGACAAGTGAAAAAAATTGAGGTGAAACTAGAACTTTACACAGGAGGAACTAAGGGGGCTGGATATAAAAAAGGGGGGAATATAGCAATGTACCTCAATGAGGAAAAGAAAGATGTGGTAGAATATAAAATGAACTTGAACAGATCAAGAATTTTTCCAAGGGTCTGTCTTGAAGCAAGGTGCAAAAGGATGAGACAGCCACGCCAATAGGATAAAAGACTTCATCCAGTGAGCTTGCTCTTTGTTTTAGGTGACATATGCCAATGGAAAGCTATCACATGGTGCAGAAGGATCAGCTAAGGAACACAATGGCTTTGAATTCCAATTCTGGCTGCTACTATTTTTGTAATCATCAACAAATTAACAACCCTGCTAAACCTCGCTTGTCCCACCTATTAAATGTAAATAATAACAGTAGCTAGTTTCATGAAGATTAAGTGAGGTGACAATCTGTGTAAAGCAAGTAGCACACCACATGGCCTATTGTAAATGCTCAATAAAAGTTAGTTTTTATGATTGTGATAGTGTTTGCAACTTTTTAACTTGAGGCAAATAAATTGGTTTTAAGAAGAAATAAAATAAGTTTTTTAGGGAAGATTAGAAGGAACCAGTCAGTGGAGGTAAGTAGACATCAGTCCCAGGAAATCATTTTCCAAGACCAAAGTCAACTCTCAGAGTACGATTGCTTTCACTGGGTGGGAGGCAGGGAGTAATACACAGAACCCAGGTGATCTGCATGAGCACTTCGTGGAACTCCCTTCACAACTATAACTGCAAACGGACAACTACAGCAACCCTGGCCTGAGAAGCATATGCTTACCAAGGCCTCAGACCCCCAGTAGTAAATGTTTGGGTCTTACTACCAAGTAAATCCCCAAGACACCAAGGTGAGAGCTGAGGGTGGACGTGCATCGGGAACACACAGTAGTGAGGAGGAAGGTGAGGATGAGTAGCAGCTGCAGACTCAAGACCAACCGTGGCAAAGGGAGCTGTACTTCATCCTGCTTACCTCCTTCTTCTAAGTTTCCTCCAAAGAAGGGGGGCCCATCAAAACCATTCGCCACACCTGTGTGGGAACTTGCATCTGTGCAGTGCAAAGGGTAGACTATGGCAGCCAGGAAAGCGCGCCACTCGGATCTCCTGAAGAGAGAGCGTGATGGCTCCAGCTACTGCCCCCCATTGGTCCAGCACCACAATGGTGCCAAGGTCATGCTTATACAGGCTGCTCCTAGCCAGCGACCTCGCATGGCAAGTACCAAGACAGGCCCATTCCATAGAAATATGGGACTCTTCTGATGAACAACTTTGAATCCCCTGTTGGCCAAACCTTTCTTGGTATTTTGTTGTAGTTCAAGACTCTCTTCCTATCCCAAAACTCCTTCCTTCCCTCTTTTTTTCCATAGGTCTCAGACTGAGTCTGAAAGATTTATTCCACTCCCTTACCAATAAATCTGTTACACATTGTGATGATTAATTTTATATGTCAACTTGACTTGGCTAACAGTTTCCCAGATATCTGATAAAACATTATTTCTGGGTGTGTCTGTGAGGGTGTTTCCAGAAGAGATTATCATTTGAATCAGTGTACTGAGTAAAGAAGATCAACCTCACCAATGTGGGAAGGCATCACCCAGCCCATTAAGGGCCCAAATAGAACAAAAACACAGAGGAAAAGTGAATTCACTCTCTCTCCTTGAGCTGGGACATCCATCTTCTCCTGCCCTTGGCACTCCTGGTTCTCAGAACTTCAGACTCTCATTGAGACTTACACTATAGTATTCCCTGGCTCTCAGGCCTTTGGGCTTGGACTACACTACCAAGCTTCCCTGGGCCTCCAGCTTGCCAAATGGCACATCTTGGGACTTCTCAGCCTCCATAATCTTGTGAGCCAATCCTTCATAGTAAATCTCTTTCTCTATATCTATGTCTATATCTATGTAGCCTATTGGTTCTGTTTCTCTGGAGAACCCTAATACATACAACTAGACTCACCTTGCTTCACAAGACCATCTTGGTTCTCAGAACTAATGCCTGAATCAATGACCCAGTAAACAATTCTACTCCTTTTGACTGATTGTAGAGAATATTGAACAGGTGCACCAGGAGACTGTACAGGAATATTTATGGCAGATGTTCAAAATGGAAGAAAAATGATGTTCTATCTTCACTTATTGTAATTTTACTCTCTCATCTATAAAAATAATCTAACTTGATAAAAGAGAAATAGGAAACAAAATCTTAGTTTCTTAGCCATTTCTACTGAAATAATAAATCTGGGACTATTACTAAAATGTCACTAATAGAACAAAGGAAAGATGAAAGGTTGTTATTGTGAAGATATTCTCTTTAGAGAATGGTAATCTCAAAATGTTTCTCCAACTTGCATGCAGAAGATATTTTTAAGAAGAAATAAACAGTAGGGAAGGTAAGGCACATTTATTTAACTATCACTTATGCATATCAGAATAGGAGGAGTTTCACTTGGTATAATAAACAATTTCTTTTAAAAATAGTGGCAAAAATCTGACAACAAACCCAAATGTCCAGCAACAATAGAATGGAAAAATGCATTATGGTACATCCCACAATGGAAGGTAAGTCCACAATCCTGTAGCTGTAATCCTGAAATATAGAAATCAATGAAAAGCATTTTATGGAGTTTTAGCAAATTTACTGTCCAGCAAAACCTGATCTGGATTGATATGTATGTGGATATTCGTCCCACCTGGTATGAATATTCATACATTTACTTGCCAAAAGATCACCATGTTTTATCACAGTGTGCAATTCCAGAACCTATTGGTGGTATCACATAACAGATTATATATGCACATCTTCTTTTCTAAAATTGGAAACATTCTGAATTCCCAAAGGAAAAGTTCTAAAAGTAATGGGCAGTATAGAGTGAACCTTTACTATACAGTGGTAAAAATAAAAATGACCTGTAGCTACAAATATCAACATGAATATCAAAAACATTATATTGACCGAAAGAAGCTGAATGATTTCATTCATGAGAAGGTCAAAAATAGGCAAATATGAATAATAAATGCTTTATGCATATATTCATAGATAAGACTACAAGAAAACTATTCTTATATGTTTTAGACACATAGTATGCATTTCACAATTTAAAAAATTTAAAGTAGTGGGGGTCCAATATTAAAATTAATTGATCTCATGGAGACAGAGAGTAAAATGACAGTTACCAGAGACTGGAAGGATTCACAGGGAGGGGGGGCCAAAGTGGGTATGGTTAATGGGTGCAAAAAAATGATTAGATAGATAGAATGAACAATATTTGACAGCACAATGAAGTGACTATAATCAACAATAAGTTAGGGTATACTTGAAAATAACTCAAAGGGCAGAATTGCAGTGTCCCTGCCACAAAGAAATGATAAATGCCTGAGGTAATGGATACCCCAATTAGCCTGATTTGATTAATCCACATTGTATGCCTGTATCAAAACATCACATGTGCCCTATACAGATATACAGCTGGTATGTACCCATAATTTAAAAAAAGAAAAGAAAAAAATTTAAAGTAATCTTGTGTGTGGAAGTGAGTGTCACTTCTGCAGATTTTATATATAAGTCATATCTCTGCCCTCTGGAGTTACAGGGAACAAGTCTGATCACTTTTTCTACATGACAGAATGGTAGGAATTGGAAGGCAATGATTGTGTTGCCCATTCCACACCAAATTTGTTCTATTTGCTTATTACGATTTATTTTCTGGGAGGTGATGGGTTTTCTTCATGAGGATTGGAATCTGATTAGAATGTGTGGACTCCAGCGCAGGTTAGGGCAGGGGAAGAAGGAGCCCTCCCGCTCCCGTGCCCGGGGGAGGGATATGAGGAGGCGTGGTCTCAGGATCCCCAGACCTGGTCACTCTGAAACAAAGGTGCTCCTGATACCGCTGGGGACAGCTGGGTCCTGGGGGGGTTGGACATTTACGCCATCTTGTCTAGAACTAGGAGGTCTGGGATTGGGTCCCAGGAGACACCGCATGTGAAAAGCCCGCAGCTTTCCCTGACTCCCGTGCCCAAGGACAGGCTGCTTCAGCCTGTGTCTTCAGCCTGTGCTGCTGCTAGGAAAGGAAGAGCACTGAGGATCCCGCCAGTGCGCTTGAGGAGGAGGAGGAGAGGCAGACCAAAGAGCGGAGGTGTGCCCAACACCCACTGATGGTGACAGGATCTCAGCATGGTCAAAATTTCCAGGTAAGAGTGGAGGGGGCCGAAATGGGAGCATTAGTCTCTCTCTCTCTCTCTCTCTCTCACACACACACACACACACACACACACACACACAGCTTCTCCCCATTCCTTCCTCCTTTTTTGCCCCTTTCTCCCTCTCAGCCAAATACAACCTGACTCTCCTGATGAGGAAGGACTCAATTTAAAATTCATGAACTCCCTGAGAATCCAGCCTGAAATCAACGTAGACCAGCCATTCCTAAGCTCCTAGCAGTGGCCAAGATATGGTAACCGAGTAATGACATGCCCAGGATGCCTGCACTGTGCATGGACAATTCACCGTCAGGCCACTAGATCGTGAGGGCCGTTCAGAATCATCCTATGTCACTATTAAAGCACAGTAAGAGTCTATAACAACTGATATACTTCAACAAGCCCTGTTTCACTTTTTTTTTTTTTATATCATATCTTTTTTTTTCTTTTTTTTTTAGACAGGGTCACTCTCTGTCAACCCAGGTAGAGTGCAGTGGTGCAATCACAGCTCACAGCAACCTCAAACTCCTGGGCTCAAGTGATCCTCCTGCCTCAGCCTCCCAAGTAGCTGGGACTACAGGTGTGTACCACCACATCCAGCTAATTTTTTTTTCATTTTTGTTGAGATGGGAGTCTTGCTATGTATGTCCGTGTCTTAAAATGAGCAAGGCAAAAGCATTATATGTAACCAAAATGTCTGTACCCTCATAATATTCTGAAATAAAAAAATTAAAAAATGAAGAAAATGTGAGGCTCAGAGGAAATAAATAATTTACACAAAATATAAAATGTTATTGAGGGTTACAGCAGGGAGGTATGTCATCTAATATTTTTTAGCGCATCAGAAACTCCAGGTTTCATTTGATCTACTACTACTGGCAACATTAATAACTATTATCACAACTTATTGAAAGCCTACCCTATACTAGCACTTTGGTTATGTGATCTCACTGATTATCTACAATTTTATGAATTATGTACATCAATTACAGACTAGGAAAATGAAGCTCAGAGAGGATACCGGGATGTATAAGTTGCGGAGGATTACACAGCTAGGAAAGACAGAGAAAGGATTTCCATCTAGTCTATAAGATACCAAACCCAACACTCCTAATGATTGATGACATTGGTAATGTTGTTGATGACAATGATGATGGAATCTTGTATTTGTAACACAATTTTGACTTTATAAAGTTAATTTATCCACATTACCTCATGTGAAGTGTCTTCAAAAGGAAAAGAGGGTAGATATTCCCATTATACCAAGAACTTGAGTTCCCTTGTCACCCCAACACACACACACACACAACAGCATAATAATTTTCTAGTAAATGCATATACCCAAGGTATTTTATTCAAACTTCACAAGCCTATGACATTGATAACTTTCCTATTAAAAAAAACCAAACAAACAAGATGAAGAGGGGAAACTAAGACATAGGAAAGTCTTCCCAGCTGTTCTCCGGCTCAACTTCATCTAAGAGGTTGCCAGCACAACTTAATAGATAGCTAAAATGCAAAATGCAACACCAACAAGATCTCCCATTATCATTGTCCAGGTTCTAGCATGCATATTCTCATGTTTACAAGCCTACCAGCAAGACACACCAGTGAATCTTTGTGATCTTTAGGAAGATTGCAGAAAATAGAGAAAATGCCTTGAATTATATAATGTTTTGGAGTTGATCTATATTAAAGCAAGATTTTCCTTCAATAGTTCAACTTTAAATGGGAATTAGAAACCAAACCACCATCTCAGACTTCCTACTCCTGGGATTTTCTGACACCCCGGAACAGCAGCCTCTCCTTTTCAGGCTCTTCCTGGCCATGTACCTGGTCACTGCGTTGGGGAACCTGCTCATCATCCTGACCATTGCTTCTGACCAGCACCTCCACACCCCCATGTACTTCTTTCTGGCCAACCTGTCTCTCACTGAGATATGCTTCACCTGCACCATAGTCCCCAAGGTGCTGGTGAACATGCACACACAACATTACACCATCTCCTATTCAGGGTGCCTCATGCAGATGTACTTCTTCATGGCTCTAACCCTGCTGGATGACTTCTTGCTGGCCGTGATGGCATATGATCGCTACGTGGCCATCTGCCTTCCTCTGCACTACACCATGGTCATGCATCCCAGACGCTGCCTGATGCTAGGGGCCATTTCCTTGCTCTGCTCCAACCTCCTGGCTTCCTCACTCACTTTTCTAATGACCCAATTCTCATTCTGTGCCTCCCATTCCATCCCACACTTTTTTTGTGATCTTCTCCCCCTGCTTAAACTTGCCTGTTCAGATACCCATATCTTTGAGGTCATGATGTTTGCTGAAGCAGCACTCTCAGGTGTGATCCCATTCACCTGTGTCCTGGTTTCTTATGCCCACATCATGCGCACCATCCTCGGGATCCAGTCTGCCGGGGGCAAGCACAAAGTGTTCTCTACCTGTGGCTCTCACCTGTCAGTGGTCACTCTCTTCTATGGGACCCTCTTTCTGGTGTATTTCCAGCCTTCATCCTCCTACTCAGCAGATACTGGAATGGTGGCATCTGTAGTATACACGATGGTCACCCCCATGCTGAACCCTTTCATCTATAGCCTGAGGAACAAGGACATGCAGGGGGCCTTGTGGAGACTCCTCGGCTTGAGAAAATATTCTACTCAGTAAAGGTACTTCCCCAGAGGAGAAGCCCTGGCTCTCCTGTATGCCTTCCTAATTGGACTTCTCTATTACAATTTAGAAAACTCATTTAAGGAAGGATGGAAGCTAAGCATCACTGGCAGGTTTGACAAATGGAGAATGCCTGACTTTCGCAAGACTGGAGTAGGACCAACTGTCAAAGGACAGAGCTGCAGCCTGGAGAGAGGGAATGGCCAGTAACCCTCATAGGGTGACTGACTTACTTGGTACAGGTATCCACGTGGATTCAGCCAAAGAATGGAACCACCAAAAGACAACATCATACAGAACGTAGGGTCTAGAATGAAGCTCAGTTAGCATCTTGGTCTATGACTAAAAGGTCCCACCAATGACAAGGAATTCTGACAAGATCTAGGAAAGGTCACTTACTCTGAGTTTCAGGGACCATTTCCAAGCCGAGATTTGGAAGCAGCTCACTTATAGGAATAAACTTGCACATGCAGAAAGCTGAACCAAGCAGACACAGTTTTTGCCAGGACTAAGTAGACAAGCATAATTCTAGAAGAGGAAACTAGGCACAGGTAAATTAGGGGACTGATACAAGATCATCCCTCTGGGATTAGACTTAAGATTCTGACTGTGAGTGATTATTAGTTATTGAGACAAGTCCTTGATTGCTTAGTTTTTAAATGGTGGTGTATTTTGCTTCCCCGTATTGCAATACATGTACATTACAGTAAATTTGTAAAACATAAACAAGTAGGAAAAAGAAGAAAACAAAATACTCACCATCCCTCCATTTAAAAGTAACCACTGATAATATTTTACATCACTTCCCATCCATCTTTTTTGTTTCAGAATATGATGGAAGTACAAATATTTTGCCTACATAAATTGCTTTTGTACAGTTAGAGTCAAAGTTATAAGTGTGCCCATCACCAGATAGTGTGGTTTGTATGTGTTCGGTGTGGCTTTACCCATCCCCTCCCCACACCACCCATCTGCCTGATTTCCACAGAGTTTTACTTCCATGTGTGCACTTGAGTGTTGATCAATTAGCTCCAATTTAATAGTGAGTACATGTGGTGTTTCTTTTTCCATTATTGTGATACTTCATCTTAGGAGAATGGTCCTCAGTCTACCCAGGTTGTTATAAAAGGTATTATTTCACCATTTTTTATGGCTAAGTAGTACTCCACAACATATATATACCATGTTTTATTAATCCACTCATGTACTAATGGGCACTTGGGTTGATTCCACATATTTGCAACTGTGAATTGCGCTTTTCACTTTTGCAGCCATCACTGGAGTGGCAGCAGGCAAAGTGAAGTTTAATCCCTTTGTTACTTCTGATTGAAGCAAGAACAGCTAAAGGCATTTCAATGCACCTTCCCACACTCCCTCTTTGCAAACAGTTGAGACAGCAGTACAACGTTCCATCCATGCCCATCCGAAAGGATCATAAAGTTCAGGTGGTTCAGAGACACTATAAAGGTCAGCAACTAGACAAAGCAGTCCGCTTTTACAGGAAGAAATATGCCATCTACATTGAACGGTGTAGCGGTAAAAGGCCAAGGGCACAATTGTCCATGTGGGCACTCGCCCCAGCAAGGTGGTTATTACTAGGCTGAAACAGGACAAAGACTACAAAAAGATCCTTGAACGGAAAGCCAAATCTCACCAAGTAGGAAAGGAAAAGGGCAACACAAGGAAGAAACACTTGAGAAGATATAGGAATGCAGCAATCTTATGTACGACTTTCATTAAACAGTGTTTAAAAAAAAAAAAGTAACACCCAAGTGCAAGTGTCTTTCTCATTAAATGGCTTTTTCTCCTTTGAGTAAATACCCAATAGTGGGATTGCTGGATCAAATGGTGCATCTACTTTTCGTTCTTTGAGTTCTCTCCATATTGCTTTCCATGGAGGTTGTACTACTTTACAGTCCCACCAGCAGTGTATGAGTGTTCCTATCTCTCTGCATTGACACCAACATTTGTTGTGGTGGGACTTTTTAATAAAAAACTCCATTCTCACTGGAGTTAAGTCATATCTCATGGTGGTTTTGATTTGCATTTTCCTGATAATTACAGATGTTGAGCATTTTTTCATGTTTCTTGGCCATAAGTCTATCTTCTTTTGAAAAGTTTCTGTTCATGTCCTTTGCCCAGTTATTAATGGGGTTGTTTGATTTTTTTCTTGCTGAATTTCCTGAATTCTATATAGATTCCAATTATTAGCCCTTTGTCAGATGTCTAGTATGCAAATATTTTCTCCCATTGAGAAGGTTGTCTAGTGACATTTGCACTGAATTGTGTAGGCCTTTCTATATAAAGATGTTATATCTTTCTCTTCTTTGCCTTACTAATATACATTCTCATTAATTCTTTATCGCATTATGATTTTTTATGTCAGGAGGTTTTTACTTCATCAAGTCAAGAGGTCTTCCTCTTTGTAACTTATTTTCCTGGAGTTAGAACTAGAAAATCCTTCCCTATGCAGAATTCATGCAAATAGTCAACACATACTTTTTTCATTTCTTGTAGAATACATTATTTTTAAAGTGATCATGTATTGCTTTAAATGAAATCTTGTGGTTGAAGCGGTTGTCTCTGAACATCTCTCTCTCACCTTCTGTAAGTTATCTCTCTCCATTTCATGATATACAATTACTATCAATTATAAATGCTGACTGTCTCTAAACAGGAACCCCAAGAGGGATTCCAGATGCCGGTTGGATTCTGCCTTCCGATCTAGGTGCTGGTGGTGTGAGTGTGTTCTCTGTGTGAAAATTCATAACCTTATACATGTATGGTTTTTTGCATTTTCTGTATAGCTCAATAAATACATCTTCAATAAGATGGTTACTCAACAAATGTAGAATACAGATAGGAAGGATTGAGAATAAAAGTTGAAAATAATATACCATAGAAATGTTGGCATGGCTCTATTATTATCAAATAAATGGACATTAAGGCATTTTTATAAATATAAAGGTTCGTGTCATAACAGTGAAAGTTTTCATTCACCAGGAAAATATAACACCTCTAAATTATTTCAAAATGAAAAAACCACAAATATACATAAAGAAAAATTAATAGAACAGCAGGAAAACTACACAAATCCATTCTCCATGGGAGATTTCAACATGCTAGGTAACTGATAGGACAAATAGGTTTTTTAAATTCAGTAAAGATACAGAATATTTCAAAATCACAATTAATAACCTCATCTAAGGGATATATTAAATACATAGAACATCACACTTAATCCTTGCAGAGAACACATCCTTTGCAAGAACTCAAAGAAATTTTACAAAACATGCTCATTTAGTGAGCCTTAAAACAAACCTCCGTAATGGCCAAGGGTTAAATTCATACAGACCACATGCAATTAAGCTAAAAACCAGAAAAAAATATAACTAGAAATCCCCACATATTTAGGAATTGGGAACTCCACTAGGAAGAATCTAGAAGTAAAAAGAAAAATCACAATGTCCATTAGAAAATATTGTATCTGAGTAAGAATCACTATAAACCATTATTTACAGAAAACTTATCCCAGTACATGCAAATGTTACAAAAGAAGAAGAAAAGATTGCAAAATAATAACTAAGTATCAATCTCCAGAAATTGTCAAAAGAAGCTAGGTGCAGTGGCTCACACCTATAATCCTAGCACCCTGGGAGGCTGGGCTGGGAGGATCCCCTGAGCTCTAGACTAGCCTGAGCAAGAGTGAGATCCTGGATCTACTAAAAATAGAAAAAATAGCCAGGCATGGTGGTGTGCACCTGTAGTTCCAACTACTTGATAGGCTAAAGCAGGAGGGTTTCTGGAGCCCCAGAGTTTGAGGTTGCAGTGAGCTATGATGACACTACTATACTCCAGCCTAGGCAACAGGGCAAGACCGATAAAAAAAATGCTAATCAGTATCTAAAAGCTACTTGATCTCATTATTAATCATTGAAATATAAACTCAAACCAGCACAAGATGCCCCAACACACCCACACAAACACACACACACTCACACACACACACCAGAATGACTATAATAAAAAGAATTCACACCAACTGCATCAAGGGTATGGTGCAAGCAGAGTCCTCACATATATTGCTGCTAGAAGTGTACTTTGGTACACTCTCTTTGGAAAACAGTCCGACATTGTGTGCCAAAACTGAAGATATGAATTCGAGAATCCAGCTATTATATTCTAGGTATGTGTGCAATAGAAAGGGATATACATGTATACCAAACAATATGCACAAGAATGATCATGCCAGCATTATGCCAAATAGCTCCCCCAAAACACCTGTTCCTTCAACGATAGATTGCATAGGTAATATGTGTCTTTATCATACAATGGAGCAGCTCGCAGCAATGAACGTCAACAAACCATTGCTATAGACAGTGACCTGGATATTCTCACCAATCTAGACTATTGAACAAAAGAAGCCAGGAAAAATAAAGAATACATATTGTATGGTTGCATGAATGCAAAGTTCAAAAGGAGACAAGGCTAATATAAAATGTTAGAAAGAGTATGGTGATTCTTGGCCTTCAAGGAGGAATAGTAATGATTAGCAGGGCGCACACAAGCTGTTCCCACATGCCGGCAGCGTTCCACTCCTTGATCTGTGTCTACTCTGTGACACACAGGTGATTAGTTTCTAATAGTTTCTTGGGTGGTATATTTCTAGTTTGTGTAGTTTTCTGCATGTATTTTACTTCCCTATTCCCTTTTATATGCACACAAGAGAAAAATACTAAACATACTCACCAGAATATGTCTACGTTTCTCTCATTCAAATGCTCTGACAGGAGAAAATTTTGTTAACGTTTGCAGTGAACTCACAGAGCTGCAAACCATGACCTGAACTTGCACGAGGCTATTTATACTCTTTACTAGGTATATTTACAGGGAATACTCATTTATTCCCTTATAGAAATACTCTGTGCTTGATTATGAGGCATTATCCTAGAACCTGCTGAGAGAATCCTAGATGACATACAAATAATTCCCAATCCAAAAGTTATGAGTTCTGCAAGTCGAAAGGCCAAAAATTTATAATAAGGGATTATCAACCTGTACAAAATAGCAACAGATATGAACATCCTTCGGCTAGACGCATTCACATGAATAAATCGAAAAGAACATTGTTGAACAACATAAGCAACAGAAAAATGTAAAAAAGTATAATTCCATTTACAAAAAGGACATAAAATCCCAAGCATGCTATATATTAAACATACATGCATATGTGCAAAACTACAAAGAAAAGTAAGAAAATGGTACACAACACACATGATACATCTTTTTTCAAAAAGGGAGGAAAAGAATGCCATTGGAAAGAGGCACACATGAGACCTCAAAGGGATTGAGCCAATTGCTATTTACAGCAAATAGTGGGAGAATGGGCTTTAATTTTACTAGCATTATTTAAACACCATGTATGTATTCTATACATTCCTTAATATATAAGATACTTATGAAATAAAGAAATACATAGATATACCAGTGCCCAATACACAGTCTAAATATCAGTCTTATCTCTGCTTTCTGTGGTCAGAGAGAAGAAGAATGTTCCTTCTATACAGCATTTGAAGGTAAAGATTTTGACATCTGATCTACTTTATTCTCTACTTCTTTCTTATTTTCTGGAACATACTGTATTTCATCCATGAAGACTGGGCTCTGTAGAATGTGTGGGCTCCATGACTAAGTCATGAAAAGGGGATGGAAGATGATGAATCCAGCCTGCAGCTCACCTAAGGGAGAAACCACGGTCAGTGGCTCTGTGGATCCCAGCCCTGGTCACCCTGAATGGAGGCATCACTGACACTGCAGGGACTCAGGGGACCACAGTCCAGAGGGGACAGCTGGGAGGTTGGACAATTGCCCCATCCTGTGTCTAACTAAGAGGTCTGTGATTGGGTCCCAGGAGACTCCACATGTGAGAGTCAGAACCTCCTCTGGCTCCTGGGCCTGAGGTGTCATTAAAGATCTCATTCAGTCTGTGCTGCTCCTAAGACAGGGACAGGCTCTCTGACTCCAGCCATGTTTTCCTGGGGAGACAACAGGGCAACGAGCAGAATCTCCCTGGTGGTAGTGGCAGAGTCTGAGGTTGGCAAATAAATAAATAAAAATAGGATACTGAAAAAAAAGAAAGAAAATAAAAGTTGAAAAATAATATACCATAGAAATGTTGACATGGCTCTATTATGATCAAAAAAATGGACTTTAAGGCATTTTTATAAATATAAAGGTTCATGTCATAACAATGAAAGTTTTCATTCACCAGGAAAATATAACAGCTCTAAATTATTTCAGTAATGAAAAAACCACAAATATACATAATGAAAAATTAATAGAACAGCAGGAAAACTACACAAATCCATTCTCCATGGGAGATTTTAACATGCTAGGTAACTGATAGGACAAATAGGTTTTTCAAATTCACTAAAGATACAGAATATTTCAAAATCACAACTAATAACCTCATCTAAGGGATATATTAAATACATAGAACATCACACTTAATCCTTGCAGAGAACACATCTTTTGCAAGAACTCAAGGAAATTTTGCAAAACATTCTCATCTGTGAGCCATAAAACAAACCTCCGTAATGCCCAAGGGTTAAAATCATACAGACCACATGCAATTAAGCTAAAAACCAGAAAAAAATATAACTAGAAATCCCCACATATTTAGGAACTGGGAACTCAGCTAGGAAGAAACTAGAAGTAAAAAGAAAAATCACAATGTCCATTAGAAAATATTGTATCTGAGTAAGAACCACTACAAACCATTATTTAGAGAAAATTGATCCCAGTACATGCAAATGTTACAAAAGAAGAAGAAAAGATTGCAAAATAACTAGCTAAACATCATTCTTCAGAAGGTGTAAAGAGAAGCTAGGTGCGGTGGTTCACACCTATAATCCTAGCACCCTGGGAGGCTGGGCTGGGAGGATCCCCTGAGCTCTAGACCAGCCTGAGCAAGAGTGAGATCCTGGATCTACTGAAAATACAAAAAATAGCCGGGCATGGTGGTGTGCACCTGTAGTTCCAACTACTTGATAGGCTAAAGCAGGAGAGTTCCTGGAGCCCCAGAGTTTGAGGTTGCAGTGAGCTATGATGACACTACTATACTCCACAGGGAAGACCAATCAAAAAACATGCTAATCAGTATCTAAAAGCTACTTGATCTCATTATTAATCATTGAAATACAAACCAGCAACAGATGCCCCATCACACACACACACACACACACACACACACCAAAATGACTGTAATAAAAAGAATTCACACCAACTGGTATTAAGGGTATGGTGCAAGCAGAGTCCTAGCTTATATTGCTGGTAGAAGTGTACTTTGGTACACTCTCTTTGGAAAACAGTCCGACATTGTGTGCCAAAACTGAAGATATGAATTCGAAAATCCAGCTATTATATTCTAGGTATGTGTGCAATAGAAAGGGATATACATGTATACCAAACAATGTGTACAAGAATGATCATGCCAGCATTATGCCAAATAGCTCCCCCAAAACACCTGTTCCTTCAACAGTAGATTGCATAAGTAATATGTGTCTTTATCATACAATGGAGCAGCTCACAGCAATGAACGTCAACAAACCATTGCTATAAACAGTGACCTAGATATTCTCACCAATGTAGACTATTGAACAAAAGAAGCCAGGAAAAATAAAGAATACATATTGTATGGTTGCATGAATGCAAAGTTCAAAAGGAGACAAGGCTAATATAAAATGTTAGAAAGAGTATGGTGATTCTTGGCCTTCAAGGAGGAATAGTAATGATTAGCAGGGCGCACACAAGCTGTTCCCAAATGCCAGCAGCGTTCCACTCCTTGATCTGTGTCTACTCTGTGACACACAGGTGATTAGTTTCTAATAGTTTCTTGGGTGGTATATTTCTAGTTTGTGTAGTTTTCTGTATGTATTTTACTTCCCTATTTAACCTTTAATATGCACACAAGAGAAAAATACTAAACACACTCATTAGAATATGTCTACGTTTCTCTCATTCAAATGCTCTGACAGGAGAAAATTTTGTTAACGTTTTCAGTGAACTCACAGAGCTGCAAACCATGACCTGAACTTGCACAAGGCTATTTATACTCTTTACTAGGTATATTTACAGGGAATACTCATTTATTCCCTTATAGAAATACTCTGTGCTTGATTATGAGGCATTACCCTAGAACCTGTTGAGAGAATCCTAGATGACATAACAATAATTCCCAATCCAAAAGTTATGAGTTCTGCAAGTCCACAGACCAAAAATTTATAATAAGGGATTATTAACCTGTACAAAATAGCAACAGATATGAACATCCTTCGGCTACACACATTCACATGAATGACTCTAGAAGAACATTGTTGAACAAAATAAGCAACAGAAAAATGTAAAATGTATAATTCCATTTACAAAAAGGACATAAAAATCCCAAGCATGCTATATATTAAACATACATGCATATGTGCAAAACTACAAAGAAAAGTAAGAAAATGGTACACAACACACATGATACATCTTTTTTCAGAAAGGGAGGAAAGGAATGCTATTGGAAAGAGGCACACATGAGACCTCAAAAGGATTGAGCCAATTGCTATTTACAGCAAATAGTGGGAGAATGGGCATTAATTTTACTAGCATTATTTAAACACCACATATGTATTCTATACATTCTTTAATATATAAGATGCACTTATGACATAAATAAATACATAGATATGCCAGTGCCCAATACACAGTCTAAATATCAGTCTTATCTCTGCTTTCTGTGGTCAGAGAGAAGAAGAATGTCCCTTCTATATAGCATTTGAAGGTAAAGATTTTGACCTCTGATCTACTTTATTCTCTACTTTTTTCTTATTTTCTGGAACATACTGTATTTCATCCATGAAGACTGGGCTCTATAGAATGTGTGGGCTCCATGACTAAGTCATGAAAAGGGGATGGAAGATGATGAATCCAGCCTGCAGCTCACCTAAGGGAGAAACCACGGTCAGTGGCTCTGTGGATCCCAGCCCTGGTCACCCTGAATGGAGGCATCACTGACACTGCAGGGACTCAGGGGACCACAGTCCAGAGGGGACAGCTGGGAGGTTGCCCCATCCTGTGTCTAACTAAGAGGTCTGTGATGGGTCCCAGGAGACTCGGCAGGTGAGAGTCAGAACCTCCTCTGGCTCCTGGGCCTGAGGTGTCATTAAAGATCTCGTTCAGTCTGTGCTGCTCCTAAGACAGGGAAAGACTCTCTGACTCCAGCCATGTTTTCCTGGGGAGACAACAGGGCAACGAGCAGAATCTCCCTGGTGGTAGTGGCAGAGTCTGAGGTTGGCCGGCATCTCCAGGTAAGATAGTCTGAGGCATAAGGTGGGGACAGAGAATACAATCTACCTAAGGCCATGTGCACTTGCACACACACACACCACACACACACACACACACACACACACGGAGCCCATAGAGCCTCTCCTGTTTTCCTTCTTCTCTTTCCTTTCTGTTCTCCCCCTCCACTAATCATTTTCTGCCTCTTCTCATCACCATGAGGGGTGCCGGCTCTGCTGCTCATCGGGTCTCTGATGGTGCACCTGAGTCATTGTACAGCATGAGCCTCACGCCCTTCTTCTCAACCCTCATTTCTCTAAGCTCATCAGTGCCTTCACAAGCACCTGAGCAATAACAAGACGAATTCACTCACAGTGAACAGGGACAGGTTGGCTCCCAGAATCTCTCTCAACCACCGCACCAGGTCAATACCAGTAATTTACACCTTACATCCATTTACACTTTACCAACCTCATTCACATCTTTCTTCTTCTTAAATTTTACTGGGGATAACTATTTAACATGGCCTATTTTTCATTCCCATTATAAATCACTGTGCACTGGTGATTAAATTATTTAACCAGGTTTCTACCTGATGTCCAGAGAACAAAACAGATGCTTACGCTTGATAGTTCTGAGCACAGTCATAACATTCAAAGTGTGGTGCTGATATATGATGACTCTTAATATAGATAGACCACAATTATAAGGCCACATACAGGCAGGGTCAAGACACAAGTAAGGACAAGGCCACCTCTCATTTATTAAAAATAGAATAACCATAATAAAATGTATTGAGCACTTTACTATATGTCAGCCTTCTTCTAAATATTTTACAATTGTTGCATGGTGGCTCACTCCTGTAATCCCACCACTTTGAGGAGGACAAGGAGGAGGATCACTTGTGCCAGGAGTGAGACCAGTCTGGGAAATCAGCAAGACCTGATTTTAGAAAAAGTAATTTAAAAATTAACCAAGCATGGTGGTGGGTGCCTGTAGTCCCCTACTTGGGGAACTGAGGAATAGGATCACTGATACACGGAATTCAAGACTGCAGGGAGCCATGATTCCACCACTGCACTGCAGCAGCCTGGGACAGAGCAAAGCACTGTCTCTAACAAATTACGATTGAATAAATATATTTACAATCATTATAGGTATTTATCTCATCTCTTATCAGTACAACTCTGTTATCATCTATTTTAAAAGGTGACAATGAAGCCAAGAGAGGCTAAATGTTTTTCAAGTCATACAGAGTAGAAGGGGAAATTCTGTAAGACTCCAAGAGATATGTATATTTTAACACTACACTAAAAAACAGGACAGTAGCACAGCTGCCTTTCAGTGCCTCATTGATTTTGTACCTACACAACATCAAACAGGAATGTTGGAATTCTCATTTTGGTTTGCCCTTATGCTGCATGAAGACACTCAATGCCTCCAGCTTTGGGTCCCCTCAACAAACTATCAGGTAGGGTTATTAGCTACCTCTTGTAGGTAAGAAAGTAAGGCTGAAAGGAGGTGAATATTCCCAAAGTTTAAATATATATGAGCAACAGAGCTGGAAAGCACATCATTCAAACCTTCCCCTGACATTGTGTCCTGGGTCACATTTCATCAGCTGTTACAAATGACGACCTAACAGTCACTACTCTTAGAGAAGGCCTGCTCTCCACATCCGTTATCTCTACAATAGTTTAGGTGGTGCCATGAAAAGTTGCACATGGTACAAATTAGGAAACAGAGATTCACACAGGTTCAATAACTGATCAAGGTCACACTGAGGAGAAGGAACAGGGAAGGGATTCTCATGAGGTCTCTGATGCCAGCCCAGGTTTTAACATGAAATATGTTGATGGCGAAGTTGACGATAAAGATGAAAACGATGGCCCCTTAATGGCAAAGTGCCTTCAGTTTGCCACCTTCTCATATCCACACTGACACACTGCAATGGCGATCAAAGGCAAAGGGGCACTGCCAGCACACCCAGAAAGCCCTAAGGCTCAGCTGGCTCCTCTCTGAAGAAATTATCTGTCTTCCATCTCCCTGAACTCCTGTGCACACACAAACTCACACATATACGCATAGAGAAACTTGTATTGCCCATTAATCCTAGTCTATGTGTCACCCCATGCATGAGCTCCTCATTAAGGCAGTGAGGTTGGAAACTGTTTCTCTAAGACGTTTTATGTAAGTGGAAATTAAAACTTCTAGAGGTTCTTCAAGGTGAATTGCAGTTCAGTCTCACTCTGGTGATCTATGCAGAAAACATACCATATTCAGGAATCTAGAAACTAAATTACACCCTCATCCCAATGCCTCATTATCATGGTCCACAGTCCTGACATTTGTACATATTTGCAACTGTGCAGTTACACTCACTAGTGAATCTCAGTTACCCCCCAAGGAACAAAGAAAAACATGCTAAAGTCTTTGGACTCTGTAATTTTTAAAGGTTAATTTGTTTGACCAGGATTACCTGCTAATTTCTCTGCCTTAGAAGGAATTTAGAAACCAAACCACCATCTCTGACTTCCTACTCCTGGGCTTTTCTGACACCCCGGAACAGCAGCCTCTCCTTTTCAGGCTCTTCCTGGCCATGTACCTGGTCACTGCGTTGGGGAACCTGCTCATCATCCTGACCATTGCTTCTGACCAGCACCTCCACACCCCCATGTACTTCTTCCTGGCCAACCTGTCTTTCACTGAGATCTGCTTCACCTGCACCATAGTTCCCAAGGTACTGGTGAACATGCACACAGAGCATCACACCATCTCTTACACCGGGTGTTTCATACAGATGTACTTCTTCATGGCTCTAACCCTGCTGGATGACTTCTTGCTGGCTGTGATGGCATATGATCGCTACGTGGCCATCTGCCTTCCTCTGCACTACACCATGGTCATGCACCCCGGACGATGTCTGATGCTGGTGGCAGCATCCTGGCTCTGCTCCCACTGCCTAGCTTTCTCACTCACCCTCCTGATGACCCAATTCTCATTCTGTGCCTCCCATTCCATCCCACACTTTTTCTGTGATGTACCCCCACTCCTCAAACTTGCCTGTTCAGACACCCATATCTTTCAGGTGACAATGTTAACTGAAGCAGTTCCCTCAGGTGTGATCCCTCTCACCTGTGTCCTGGTCTCTTATGGCCACATCATGCACACCATCCTTGGGATCCAGTCTGCCGGGGGCAAGCACAAAGTCTTCTCTACCTGTGGCTCTCACCTGTCAGTGGTCACTCTCTTCTATGGGACCCTCTTTCTGGTGTATTTCCAGCCCTCATCCTCCTACTCAGCAGATACTGGAATGGTGGCATCTGTAGTATACACGATGGTCACCCCCATGCTGAACCCTTTCATCTATAGCCTGAGGAACAAGGACATGCAGGGGCCTGTGGAGACTCCTCGGCTTGAGAAAATGATTCTACTCAGTAAAGGTACTGTCCCAGAAGAGAAGCCCTGGCTCTCCTGTATGCTTCCTAACTGGACTTCGCTATTACAATTTGAAAACTCAAATTTAAGGAAGGATGGAAGCTCAGCATCCTAGCAGTTTGACAAATGGGAGAATGCCTGACTTTGGGCAAGACAGGAGTAGGACCAACTGTCAAAGGACAGAGCTGCGCTGGAGAGAGGGAATGGCCGGCCAGTAACCCTCATAGGGTGACTTACTACTTGGTACAGGTATCAAGTGGATTCAGCCAAAGAATGGAAACCAAAAGACAACATCATACAGAACGTAGGGTCTAGAATGAAGCCTCAGTTTCAGCTTGGTCTATGACTAAAAGGTCCCCATGACAAGGAATTCTGACAAGATCTAGGAAAGGTCACTTACTCTGAGTTTCAGGAACATTTCCAGCCGAGATTTGGAAGCAGCTCACTTATAGGAATAACCTGCACATGCAGAAAGCTGAACCCAAAGCAGACACAGATTTTGCCAGGACTAAGTAGACAAGGAATAATCTAGAAGAGGAAACTAGGCACAGGTAAATTAGGGACGATACAAGATCATCCCCTCTGATTCCGACTTAAGATTCTGACTGTGAGTGATTATTTAGTTATTGGGACAAGTCCTTGATTCTTAGTTTTTAAATGGTGGTGTATTTTGCTTCCTCGTGTTGCAATACATGTTCATTATAGTAAATTTATAAAACATAAACATATAGGAAAAAGATGAAAACTAAAACTCACCATCCCTCCATTTAAAGGTAAAACTGATAATATTTTACATCACTTCCCAACCATCTTTCTTCATTTCAGAAGATGATGAAAGTACAAATATTTCGCCTACAGAAATTGCTTTTGTACAGTTTGAGTCAAGTTATACAGTTGCCCATCACAGATAGTTGGAATTTGTACTGTGTTTCGGTGTGGCTTTTACCATCCCCTCTCCCCCACTGCGTATTTCCATTGAGTTTTACTCCAATGTGGCACTTGAGTGTTGATCAATAGCTCCAATTTAATAGTGAGTACATGTGGTGTTTCTTTTCCATTATTTGATACTCATCTTAGGAGAATGGTCTGCTCAGTCACCACGGTTGTTATAAAAGGTATATTTCACCCATTTTTACTGGCTAGTAGTACTCCACAACAACTAAATAGCCACTTTTATTAATCCACTCATGTACTAATGGGCACGTTGGTTGATTCCACATATTTGCAACTGTGAATTGGCGCTTTTCACTTTTGCAGCCATCCTGGATGGCCAGCAGGCAAAGTGAAGTTTAACCCTTTGTTCTCTGATGAAGCAAGAACAGCAAAGGCATTTCAATATGCACCTTCCCACAACTCCTGCTCTGCAACAGTGAGACAGCAGTACAACGTTCCAGTCGCATGGCCCATCGAAAGGATCATAAAGTTCAGGTGGTTCAGAGACACTATAAAGGTCAGCAACTAGACAAAGCGTCCGCTTTTACAGGAAGAAATATGCCATCTACATTGAACGGTGTAGCGTAAAAGGCCAAGACACAATTGTCCATGTGGGCACTCGCCCAGCAGTGTTATTACTAGGCTGAAACTGACAAAGCTAAAAAGATCCTTGACGGAAAGCCAAATTCACCAAGTAGGAAAGGAAAAGGGCAACACAAGGAAGAAACACTTGAGAGATATAGGAATGCAGCAATCTTATGTACGACTTGAGTAACAGTGTTTAAAAAAAAAAAGAAACACCCAAGTGCAAGTGTCTTTCTCATTAAATGGCTTTTTCTCCTTTGAGTAAATACCCAATAGTGGATTGCTGGATCAAATGGTGCATCTACTTTTCGTTCTTTGAGTTCTCTCCATATTGCTTTCCATGGAGGTTGTACTACTTTACAGTCCCACCAGCAGTGTATGAGTGTTCCTATCCTCTGCATTGACACCAACATTTGTTGTGGTGGGACTTTTTAATAAAAAACTCCATTCTCACTGGAGTTAAGTCATATCTCATGGTGGTTTTGATTTGCATTTTCCTGATAATTAAGATGTTGAGCATTTTTTCATGTTTCTTGGCCATAAGTCTATCTTCTTTTGAAAGTTTCTGTTCATGTCTTTGCCCAGTTATTAATGGGTTGTTTGATTTTTTCTTGCTGAATTTCCTGAATTCTATATAGATTCCAATTATTAGCCCTTTGTCAGATGTCTAGTATGCAAATATTTTCTCCCATTGAGAAGGTTGTCTAGTGACATTTGCACTGAATTGTGTAGGCCTTTCTATATAAAGATGTTATATCATTCTCTTCTTTGCCTTACTAATATAATTCTCATTAATTCTTTATCTCGTTATGATTTTTTATGTCAGGAGGTTTTTACTTTATCAAGTCAAGAGGTCTTCCTCTCTGTAACATATTTTCCTGGAGTTAGAACTAGAAAATCCTTCCCTATGCAGAATTCATGCAAATAGTCAACACATACTTTTTTCATTTTCCTGTAGAATACATTATTTTTAATGTAATCATGTATTGTTTCAAATGAAATCTTGTGGTTGAAGCGGTTCTCTCTGAACATCGCTCTCTCTCACCTTCTGTAAGTTATGTCTCTCCATTTCATGATATACAATTATTATCAATTATAAATGCTGACTCCTCTAAACGGGAACCTCAAGAGGGATTTGGGATGTCGGTCAGATTCTGCCTTCCGATCTCGGTGCTGGTGGTGTGAGTGTGTTCTCTGTGTGAAAATTCATAACCTTACACATGTATGGTTTTTTGCATTTTCTGTATAGCTCAATAAATACATCTTCAATAAGATGGTTACTCAACAAATGTAGAATACACATACAGAAGGATTGAAACAAGCACCACATATACTCACCAGCAAACTGGTATTAACTGAGTAGCACCTAAGTGGACACATAGGTACTACAGTAATAGGGCATTGGGGAGGGGGAGGGTAGAGGGGGGTATATACATACATAACGAGTGACATGTGCACCATCTGGGGGATGGTCATGCTGGAAACTCAGACTTGTGGAGGGAGTGGGGAAAAGGGCATTTATTGAAACCTTAAAATCTGTACCCCCATAATATGCCGAAATTAAAAAAATAAATAAATAAATAAATAAAATAGGAAACTGAAAAAGAAAGAAATAAAGAGTTGAAAAATAATATACCATAGAAATGTTGACATGGCTCTATTATGATCAAATAAATGACTATAAGGCATTTTATAAATATAAAGGTTTCATGTCATAACAATGAAAGTTTTCATTCACCAGGAAAAATAACAAGCTCTAAATTATTTCAGTAATGAAAAAACAAAATATACATAATGAAAAATTAATGAAAGCAGGAAAACTACACAAATCCATTCTCCATGGGAGATTTTTAACATGCTAGTAACTTATAGGACAAATAGGTTTTTCAAATTCAGTAAAGATACAGAATATTTCAAAATCACAACTAACAACCATCATCTAAGGGATATATTAAATACATAGAAATCACACTTATCCTTGCAGAGAACACATCCTTTGCAAGAACTCAGGAAATTTTGCAAAATTCTCTATCTGTGAGCCATAAAACAAACCTCCGTAATGCCCAAGGGGTTAAAATCATACAGACCACATGCAATTAAGCTAACCAGAAAAAAATAGAACTAGAAATCCCCACATATTTGGGAACTGGAACTCAGCTAGGAAGAAACTAGAAGTAAAAAGAAAAATCACAATGTCCATTAGAAAATATTGTATCTGAGTAAGAACCACTACAAACCATTATTTAGAGAAAATTGATCCAGTACAATGCAAATGTTACAAAGAAGAAGAAAAGATTGCAAATAACTAGCTAAACATCATTCTTCAGAAGGTGTAAAAGAAGCTAGGTGCGGTGGCTCACACCTATAATCCTAGCACCCTGGAGGCTGGGCTGGAGGATCCCTGAGCTCTAGACCAGCCTGAGCAAGAGTGAGATCCTGGATCTACTGAAAATACAAAAAATAGCCGGGCATGGTGGTGTGCACCTGTAGTTCCAATACTTGATAGGCTAAAGCAGGAGGTTTCCTGGAGCCCCCAGAGTTTGAGGTTGCAGTGAGCTATGATGACACTACTATACTCCACAGGGAAGACAATCAAAAACATGCTAATCAGTATCTAAAAGCTACTTGATCTATTATTAATCATTGAAATAACAACAAGCAACAGATGCCCATCAAAACACACACACACACACACACACACACACACCAAAGATGACTTAATAAAAAAGAATCACACCAACTGGTATTAAGGGTATGGTGCAAGCAGAGTCCTAGCTTATATTGCTGGTAGAAGTGTACTTTGGTACACTCTCTTTGGAAACAGTCGACATTGTGTGCCAAATATGAAGATTGATATATTAGATATATGTAATAGAAAGAGGATATCATGTATACCAACAATATGTACAAGAATGATCATGCCAGCATTATGCCAATAGCTCCCCAAAACACGTGTTCCTTCAACAGTAGATTGCATAGGTAATATGTGTCTTTATCATAAGGAGGATCACAGCAATGAACGTCAACAAACTATAATGTATAAACAGTGATCTGGATATTCTCACCAATGTAGACTATGAAAAAGAAGCCAGGAAAATAAAGAATACATATTGTATGGTTGCATGAATGCAAAGTTCAAAAGGAGACAAGGCTAAAGAAAGAGAAGAGAGTATGGTGATTCTTGGCTCCAGGATAGTAAATGATTAGCAGGGACAGAAGACATGCCGAAGCAGCGTTCCACTCTTGATCTGTGTCCACTCGGACAACATAGATAGTTATTTCTAATAGTTCTTGGTGGTTTTTCTAGTTTGTGTAGATTTATATTTATAATATAATATGCACACAAAAAATACTAAACACACTCATAGAAATAACGTTTCTCTCATTACAATGCTCTGACAGGAGAAATTTTGTTAACGTTTTCAGTGAACTCACAGAGCTGCAACCATGACCTGAACTTGCACGAGGTATTTATACTCTTTACTAGGTATTTTACGAGAGTACTCATTTATTCTTTAGAATACTCTGTGCTTGATTATGAGGATTACCCTAGAACCTGCTGAGAGAATCCTAGATGACATAACAATAATTCCAATCCAAAGTTATGAGTTCTGCAAGTCCACAGACCAAATATATAAGGGATTATTACCTTTACAAAATGAACATCATCTTTCGGCTACACACATTCACCATGAATGACGCTTAGAAGAACATTGTTGACAAAATAAGCAACAGAAAAATGTAAAATGTATAATTCCATTTACAAAAAGGACATAAAATCCCAAGCATGCTATATATTAAACATACATGCATATGTGCAAAACTACAAGAAAAGTAAGAAAATGGTACACAACACACATGATACATCTTTTTTCAGAAAGGGAGGAAAGAATGCTATTGGAAAGAGGCACACATGAGACCTCAAAAGGATTGAGCCAATTGCTATTTACAGCAAATAGTGGGAGAATGGGCATTAATTTTACTAGCATTATTTAAAACACACATATGTATTCTATACATTCTTTAATATATAGATGCACCTATGACATAAATAAATACATAAATATGCCAGTGCCAATACACAGTCTAAATATCAGTCTTATCTCTGCTTTCTGTGGTCAGAGAGAAGAAGAATGTCCCTTCTATATAGCATTTGAAGGTAAAGATTTTGACCTCTGATCTACTTTATTCTCTACTTTTTTCTTATTTTCTGGAACATACTGTATTTCATCCATGAAGACTGGGCTCTATTAGAAAGTGTGGCTCCATGACTAAGTCATGAAAAGGGGATGGAAGATGATGAATCCAGCCTGCAGCTCACCTAAGGGAGAAACCACGGTCAGTGGCTCTGTGGATCCCAGCCCTGGTCACCCTGAATGGAGGCATCACTGACACTGCGGGGACTCAGGGGACCACAGTCCAGAGGGGACAGCTGGGAGGTTGGACAATTGCCCCATCCTGTGTCTAACTAAGAGGTCTGTGATTGGGTCCCAGGAGACTCGGCAGGTGAGAGTCAGAACCTCCTCTGGCTCCTGGCCTGAGGTGTCATTAAAGATCTCGTTCAGTCTGTGCTGCTCCTAAGACAGGGAAAGACTCTCTGCATCCAGCCATGTTTTCCTGGGGAGACAACAGGGCAACGAGCAGAATCTCCCTGGTGGTAGTGGCAGAGTCTGAGGTTGGCCGGCATCTCCAGGTAAGAACTGAGGCATAAGGTGGGGACAGAGAATACAATCTACCTAAGGCCATGTGCACTTGCACACACACACACACACACAACACACCACACACACACACACGGAGCCCATAGAGCCTCTCCTGTTTTCCTTCTTCTCTTTCCTTTCTGTTCTCCCCCTCCACTAATCATTTTCTGCTCTTCTCATCACCATGAGGGGTGCCGGGCTCTGCTGCTCATCGGGTCTCTGATGGTGCCACCTGAGGTCATTGTACAGCATGAGCCTCACGCCCTTCTTCTCTAACCCTCATTTCTCTAAGCTCCATCAGTG